GTTTATGGACGATAGACAATATATGTATTTTTACAAATCAATAAATGTTGTAAATATCACTTAGATAACGCGGACCTTTTCTTCATTCGACGGCCCATAACATTTTATAAATAAACCGTTATGACCACAGACCAACTCATGGTAATACGTAGCTGTTAATGTTATTTCTTTTAAAAACAACAAATAATAATCATGGGGTTTCCCTAAAAAACAGTCAGAAAACCACCAGGTAATGTATTTTGATAATATTATAACACTCATGCGTGATTCGATAGGCAATAAATAATCGGCTTATACAGAGTGGGGCAGTGAATCGGGCGATTTTAAAATAACTACGGAAAGCTCTGTAATTGATATTTGCGTACCTACTACAACTATAAAATTATGTTTTTAATAAATAAGCGTTTATCATAAGTTATCATTGGACCGCACGACAACGTGCGTTCGCTGTAAAAACGTTTTATCTAAACAGCTATAGTTCATGGTAGCGCAGCGGGTTTCCGCGTTCATTCCGGCATTAATCGTAATCGCACAGTGCCGTCAGCCCACGCAATAAAATGATGGGTGAACAATTTCGAACAGTGTGGCACAATTATTAAAAAAAGAGATGGAAGAAAACTAAATATTCGAACTCGGGAGTAAATTGAACGAGTTAGAGAAGCAATTGGAAGAAACCCCCATCGGTCGGGTCGTCGTCATAATGCTACGCTTGGATTATCAAACCGAACCGTTAGGAGAATTTTACATGATGATCTTCATCATCATCCGTACAAAATTCAAGTGGTCCAAGCTCTCAATGAAAATGATTATGTCAGTCGAAGATGTTTTTGTGAACAATTTTTAGCTTTGATTAATGAAAATGAAGATATGATCCATAACTTATGGATGAGTGACGAGGCTCATTTTCACCTATCGTCAATAAGCAAAACTTTAGGTACTGGAGTGACACAAACCTTCGTCAACTTCATTAGAGACCACTACATTCCTCTAAAGTAACGGTTTGGTGCGCTTTATCTACTTCAGGAATTATACGGCCGTATTTTTTCGAGAACGAACGTGGAGAGGCAGTCACTGAGCGATATTTAATTTATTTAGTCTCTATCAATGCCTACACGTAGTTTTCCGTAAGTAACGTGCTAAACAAATAAACAATATAATTTTATATTATTTGTGTGAATTATGTATTTATTTGAATTAATCAATTAATTTTAAATTATAAATTGTAATTAATTCAATAATGGCTAAAATAATGTTTGATGTCTTTAATATAAAAAAACAAAAATTAATTGTTACTAATTCCTCGTCAACAACAACACTAGAATCTGAAAATGAAGATTTAAATATTAGTTTAGACATTGATATACGAGTAACTACACAAAAAAGTGTTGAAAATATTGTAGATAAAAAAGTCATTTTCGACTTGGGAACTTTAATAACAGGCCCTGATGCTGCACCGCGACCGCTCCTACGAGGACGGCGGTTGTCGGCCGCGACTTGCTAGGTGTTGGGATAAGGTTACCCTTGTTTCACAATAATAAAATATAAAAATGAGATTTAGGAATGCTAAAATGTACATATATTATACTAAACAAATTGGACGCCTTTACATATACAAAAAGAAATACATAGACATGCGCCGCAGACGCGTTATTCAATATAAATAATAATAATAATAATAATAATAATAAAAATTTTTGCGTCAGCGCGATATTAATGTACCTTGACGCAGCCCCAGACCGTACGGTTTCACCCACGCGACCGTGTTAATACACGTGCGACGGACTGGAGACTACCGGAAGTCTTCTGAAATATGCCGCGAAAACACCGACTCCAAGTGAAATCGCTCGTTCGAACTCAGGACGTCCGCGACAGCGTCGAAAGATGGCGAGCGACGACAACGTGATCGTCCAACGGGCGTAAAAGTAACGGAACTGACGAATTGTCGACGATGAAAACACGCTCGAGAAAAGCTCAGACGACTCGTAAATCCGTAGATTACGTTCGTGACGCACTCGGACGATAACTCCGTTGCATACGGTCGCGGCACACACAGTCGACAGACCAACCAACAAAATACCAGCAACACGGCAAAATGATAATAACAAAACAAAATTTCCGGGCGTGACGAAAACGGCACTGACTCCAAAGGAAAACGGTAGTCACGGAAAGCACACAGCAACAGTCCGGAAAGCGTCGTGTCATCGGCGACGCATACGAGCGAAGTAAGACGACGATTTTTGCACGAGGGAATCAAAGGTAAGCGAAACACGCGCCACCAAAGCGGCGCTCGTTGGTCTAACCGGTCTTCTTTTGACGGGGCATGTGGGAGAGGGCGCGCCACGAAACTTCTTGAAGCTTCGGGAAGCTCATGGCGCAAATGATATACGTTTGGAGAGCATTTTTAAAATAATGGTAAGCCCGAACAGTCCCTGTGCGATCAATTTTATCAATCAGTACAAATGTAGGTAAACACTAAACATAGTTTAAGTTATTATATTATATTTAAATTAAATATATTGCAGTAATATCCACTAACTAAATTTGGTACACAAAATCGCGCTTTCAATCATAAGCATTACAAAACATATGTACACACAACGTACACAATGTCAAAAAGTTTAATCCTTTACACCTAAGTTTAGATAATGAATGTCAGAAAAACTTTAAATATATGAAAAATAAAAAAAAAATAAAACATATGAATGCCTTGAATATAGTATATCAAAAGATAATTGGCCCATTACTCATGTCTATGACATCGAATTAATAATACTCTAAATTAATGGTTTCCAAAGTATAAGGCACGAGCACTTATTAGAGGAGTCACAAGGCGAATATATACATTGTAAATTACACTATCCTATATTTATTTCTAGGTCGACAGTAATTTTCTTTTATTAAAATAATAAAAAATGTTGTTTTATTTATTCATGAGAGGCACGATTAAATGTTTTTTGTTTTGGGGATAATTGATCCAAACATTTTTAAGGAACCGCTGAACTACGCAATATTTATCGAAATATTATACAATAGGATCAAAAAAGTGAATCAAAACTTTTTGAACTTGATCAGCATTGTTTAAGATAGATTGACATACTATTATAGTAATATAATTAATGTTATCCACCTGTAATAATGGCATATTATTCGTTTGAATTGATAGACATACGTCTATTTCGATAAAGGTTTTACGAATAATATTTTACTCCAATAAAATAAATATTACCCATTTAATAAAAAAAAGTAAATGCTTAGTAATTATTGAGTACATTTTTATTTTTTTTTATTTATAAAAAAACTTTTCTGCGTTATTGGTGTACAAATTTCAGTTAAACATTTCTAGGAAATGAGTAGTGTTTTTAATTATTTTTCGATTAACTAAGGTTATATTAAACTCTGTACACAAGACTTATTTTGCTATTCTGAACAACAAATAATATTGTCTATTTCACAGTTTTCTTTTAAAATTTCACGACCAACCACATGTTTTTAGTGAAATTTGCCAAAGCACCGGAGAAAAATGAAATGTTCACCACCATAACGTACCCTAGCATCTTTATAGCATTTCAACTAGATTCAAAAGTTTTCCTTTTAACTTTTTCTTGTGGTCAACATTTATATGAACCTGAGGTACGAATACATTTTTTATTCGCGATCGACCAACATTTATTTTTATTTTAGCCAACCACTGCGGTGGAGAGATGGGGGATCATGTGTGAACTGTATATAATGACGTAGAGGGCCGAACTATTATATAACTAGTGGCAAATCATAATCCAATACACGGCGAATCGATCGTAATTCCAAAATTTTTCCCGAGAGAAGGAAAAAAAATTAAAATCGACATTTTTTTTCTCGTCACTTCGTACGATATTACTAAAATATGATTCGAGCGATAGGTCCATCGCATAAGGTGCGACTATTTTGGGATCAAAGTCACCAACCAGTTGAATGCGAAACTGTGAACTTAGCGTATGCAGGCACGTAGCCAGACATATTTCTATAAGGGGGCCAACATTTTTTGGCCCCTTTCTGTAGTTGTATTTATCAAATGTACGTTCGATATCCGTATTTGGAATTCCTAGTTTTCAATCTATTAATACACGTACTATTGTCTTATCTCAAATTGTCAAGTGAGGAATATTTATAAAATAGAATCTCAGAATTTAATTTTTGTTATACGATCGTTAATTATATGGAGTGGGCGCAGGTAAACTCCCCCAGTGAAGTAAATCAAGTCGTAATATAAAATTAATATGATATATTATTATTATAATATTATATAATATCATACCTCCATTTTATTTCACCAGACGTATATTTTATATCTTGGATATATTTGTAGTTGTTAAATAAAACCAACAAATTGCCTCAAGGTATACATTACCTACTGCCAATATCATCATTGGAAATACGAATTTCAGATTTCGACATACATTATCGCAACAGATGTCAACGTATTTAATGTGAGAAGGCACGTGGCAATTTGAGCACTGAGCAAGTAAACAAAAAAAAACTGGAGTTTACATATACCCATTACAGGTAAGAAAAAAAACTGGCGGAGTTTACACTAGACCAGAGGTATTCAAACTGTGCGTCGCGGCTCCCAGTGGCGTCGCGGAAGTTGTCGAAGGGAGCCGTGTCATATAATTGAAAACCAATAAATATTTTAAAATATTTTTAATATAAATTATTTTTAATTAATAAAATATTTTTACGAAAAACGTTTATTATTATCATTGAGGCACACCGTTTGGGAAACGTTGAATTGTCTACAGTCTACACTCTACAACAATCATTCACTAAATATAGCTTTAATTGGTCGCGTAAGTCGCGATAGCGATAGCGATACCATCGACTGCCATCGTTAAATTATCAGTGCGTATGTCGTGTTTGGCAGTATTCGTCGCGAGTTGTGTTTATCCATTGACTATTAACGTGTTTACGTGTACACAAGTGATAGTTTTCTCGTGTTAGTTAAGTTTTAGAGTTTTATCAGGATGGATAAATTTTTGAACAGACCTAAACGTGATAATCCGGAATTTGATAGTTCTAATACTGTAAGAAAATCAAAACACCGTAAATATGATGAGAGTTACATGGATTATGGTTTTACGTATACATTAGTGGAGAATGAAGAACGTCCACAGTGTGTTATTTGTTTCAAAGAGATGGCTGTTGAAAGCATGCTCCCTAATAAAATAAAACGTCATTTGGAAACGGTACATGAAACTTTGAAAAACAAACCACGTACATATTTTGAGTCAAAATTAAAAGCAATGCGTGAACAAAAGATAACCTTTGCCAAGCATGCTAAGATCCCTTCTAAGGCTCTGCTTGCATCTTACAAAGTTGCTTATCAGGTCGCTAAATGTAAAAAACCACACACTATCTCAGAACAGCTCATTTTACCGGCAGCAATGGATATGGTGTCAATTATGCTTGGGGAGGCTGCTGCCAAGCAATTAATGAACATACCATTATCAGATACTACTATTAGTCGCAGAATACTTGATTTGGCTGAAGATATTAACGATCAGTTGATAGATAAATTAAAAGGCAAGGATTTTTCTCTACAACTGGACGAAGCCACTGATAATAATAATGATGGCCACCTAATCTGTTACGTGAGGTTTATAGATGGTGGCGTTTTTCACGAAGATCTTCTTTTTTGCCGAACTATTAAAAGTCAAGCTAGAGCAATAGATTTGTTCCAAATGCTCGATTTTTTCATTACGGAAAATAATTTAATGTGGGAAATGTGCTGTGGTATTTGTACTGATAGAGTTCGTTCGATGTCAGGATGTTACAACGGACTTCAAGCCCTCATTAAAAGAAAAGCCCCATTTGCTGTATGGACTCATTGCATAATTCACAGAGAAGCTCTCGCTTCAACATCTATCAGCCCATCTCTTGATGAGGTATTGCAATCAACTATTAAAATCGTTAACTTCATCAAAACTCGTCCATTGAAATCCAGATGTTTCGAACAAATGTGTGTTGATATGGGAGCTGAGCACACTTCCTTACTTTACTATTGCAATTCTCGATGACTTTCACGTGGAAATGTAGTGGCAAGAGTATTCGAACTTAGAAAAGAACTTCATATTTTTCTTTTAGACCACCATGATACCACAAAAAATTTGAAGACATTGATTTTCTTACAAAACTGTCATATCTTTCCGATATTTTTTCAAAGCTAAATATATTAAATAAATCGTTGCAAGGAAATAAAACCCACATTTTTGAGCTTCTTGATAAAATTACGGCTTTCCAAAGAAAATTAGTTTTATGGAAGACTAAAATAGAAGACAACGCTTTTAATGATTGCTTTCCTATGCTCCATACATTTCTAAAAGAAATGATATGAACTTGAATGAGATCGTCAAAAATGAGTTAATTGACCACTTATCTAACCTCAAAATTCATTTCGAACACTATTTTCCACAAAATACTCAACAACAAAATTGGATCAAAGATCCCTTCAGTGCTGACCTTTCAACAAATTTTTCATCTATTGAACAAGAACAGTGGATCGATGTAACATCAGATTCCACAATGAAGACCATGTTGGGATCATCGTCGTTTACACAATTTTGGATGCATGTGAAACTACAATACACCGAATTGGCCACCAAAGCTTTGAAATATTTAACACCTTTTGCAACTTCGTACCTCTGTGAGACCGGGTTTTTTGCGTTAGCTGTAATTAAAACAAAATATCGATCAAAAGTGAACGTTGAGAAGGAGATGAGAATAGCTATTTCCAAACTTGAGCCACGATTTGAACATATTATGAAGCATAAGCAAGCGCATCTATCTCACTAAAAATCTAGTAATAAGTAATATTAATTATTTAATATTATTGTTATTTTTTTGAGTTATATTTCATAAGACTAAACATAAAATATTTTGTTATATTTTTTTTTACAATAACTACTTATTTATAATTTTTTTATATATGTAATATGATAAATAAATAATTAGTATAAAATATAAATTATATTCATATAAACATTGATTTTTTTGTCATTTTTAATTTGGGAGCCGTCAACATTTTGTGAAGCCTTGGGATGAAAATGTTTGAATACCTCTGGACTAGACCTTTTATTATATTTTTATCTTAACCGATATTCCATCGGAGTTTACAATTGCCTATATGGAATATACGTGCAGTATTTAGCCGGTTTGGGACAACTAAATACCATAATATTTCAAAATCAAGGAGGCCACTGATTTTTCTTAGGGGGCCAGTCCACCTAAGGCCCCCCCTTGATGACGTGCTTGAGCGTATGTCATCTGTATGAATCCGCACTCGAAGCGATTCGAATGAGATTAGTTTACAATCAGTTTAAAATTGATTTTATTCCATCTTTTTTCCCGCGGACAAAGTAGTTGCGCTGCTTTTTACCACGTGATTTTAAAAACAGTGTAAGGCACCTGCACACGGTACAAATGATTTGCAACGAGAATCTCTAATCAATTGCATGGGCGACCGTTTTGGTGACTGCTTATGTAACGTGATAGGAAAAAGCACATTAGCAGTCCACTTACACTAAACCGATTTGTAGTTAGTTTCCAACTGGTCACGTGCAACTTTGTTAGCCGTTCGAATTTCAGTTGCAAGGTTGCTTGGTAATAATAATTATTATAATAATTAAATAATAATAATAATATAATATAATTATAATATAGTATATTATACCCGGCTCTAACTTAAAATAATTTAAAAATAATTTTATATTGTCTTGATTCATTCCCTATGAATAATCACTTGATGAACATTAAATTCGACGAGGAGGTTAGAAAACACGAACATTTTTCATAACATAAAAGCTATTGGTTTTAACTTAGTTAAGGTGTGACGATAATGACGTCAAACGATAACATTACGCAGGTTTTCGGGAAGGTATTAAAATCAAACCGTTTACCGAAATACGTTTTCGTGGTTATATTTGGTGAAAATTGTTTACAGTAAATATTTCTCCACGTACTATATTTGGTACACGTTCCACTGGTTTACTGTTTGCTAAAATATTAACTGATATAAGCAAACATTAATTTTAATCGCTTCCTAATTTTGATATCTCTGATATTAATGATGATTGTGAATTATGTTAATACATTATCTAGCAGTATGTTATAATATAATATATTTATCCGCTAGAATATCGGTTAAGATAAAGATAATAATAGATCTAGTGTAAACTCCGCCAGTTTTTTTTTTCTTACCTGTAATAGGTATATGTAAACGGATGGGTCCATTTTCCTCCAAAAACGAGATAATGTTTTCCTCTACAGTCCATTTTCCTTAAAAAAAAAAAAAATTAATAATAATAATTCTGGACCATTTTCCTCCAATTTCCATTTCTCTCCAAAAAATGAAATAATAAAATCTTCATTCATTGTCGAATGATAAATTAGAAATAAAGAACAAATTAATTATTTTAAAAATGGAATGAATTTTATTGATTTTACTCATTAATAAAAACTATTTTAACTATTCTCTAAATTTTCATAATTTCACATTTTGAATACTTTTCAAACGATTGTATAAAAATTTCATGAAATAAAACTATCAAATTTTTAAGGCTGAAGTACATAATGTATTGATGTACATCGTTTGCGATTATCAGATTCATCGTATTTACAATGCCTACAGATAAGATTACCTATATATTAAACACAAAAAACAATGAAAAGTTCATTAAAAATTATAAAAAAAAAATACCGTATTTAAAACCATAAGTACTCGTATAATAAATTATTTACTGACTGGAGAAAGAAAACTGTTAGTTTTGACGTTAAGCGATTTGGTTTATTTTAAGTACGCTCCAATCACATCAACCGACGTAAAACGATGATTTTCGAAGTATAAAAACTTACTGGCTACAAATTGAAAAACATTGGATTTTGAAAATTTAAAAAACTTACAGTTAAATGCAATAACATTTTTAAGTACATGTATATATTTTTTTATACTTCATATATACATCTTTATAAATTGTAACTAATGAGCATAGGCACAACTAAAGCCCAAATATTGGGAATGCTGAAATAACGTACCTCACACTAACCCTCACACACACTCCCCAAGTACCATATCTCAATTTAGTCACTAAATGTACCATAACAATTTACATACACTAATATTTTATTTTATAAATATAAATATTAACAAGCCTAACCTATATTAATTTATTTAGGTCATACAGTAATAAGAAATACAAAAATTAAAAAAAGACAATGTAATTAACTAATAGTATTAAACAATTAATCTTTTTAATAAAAGCATCAAATAAAAATAACTACATAAAATAAGAAAAATACTATTTTTATATAATTTTTAAATTATTAATTTTTTATCTTAGGGGTGCTGAAGCACTCATAAGCACCCCCCTAGCGCCTATGCTAATGAGTCTATTTTATATATAATATATAAATTACAATAAGTTAATGGCAGATAAAATAAACGTAATTTTATGAATAATAACGAAACATTATTTTTTTTAGTATAATTTTAGATTCTCTAAAATGCAATTTTCGATATATCTTAGTGCAATACTGCAATCAATTTTACTACTATCTTACTACTACAACATTCATGCCCAATTTATTAATATCACGAAAAAATTATCATTACCAATAATTACAGAAAACCCGTAGGGTAGTAGAATTAATGAAAATATTAAAAAAAAAACTCCACATTATGATTAAAAGTGAAAATTGTTATTTTAGAATAAAAAAAAGATGAATACACAGTGTTTAAATCCTGTGAAGAAATAAAAAACCAAATCAAGACAAATCAAATAATATATATATTAAATAATAATTTATTTAATAAAACACTAATTTCAACATCATAAAAATATAAAATGTCTATATAGAAAAAAAGTTATGTGGTAAAAATTATGTAACTATAAAAAAAAAGTGAACATTTTTATAAAATAAGAGAAAAATTAGTAATATGAAAAAATAAATATATTATAAAAATGGTAAAAAAAAACCCTGTGAAGGGAAAAAACCAAAAAAATTGACGAATTAAATTAGATAGTTGAAAAAAGTAGTACCATAAAAAAAAATGTATGAAAAATTGTGTAAAAAGGATCTAAAAAATATATGAAAATGTATAAAATATATAAAATTTATAAAAATGTATAAAAATATATAAAATGAAAATGTTCTGGATCACTATGTCTTCGATATACTGCTGGTTAAATATGCGACTATTCATATGTTCTCTTTGTCGTTACCACCGACTTTGGATCTAACACCATTTCAGAGATGGTCGGTTCGATCGATCGCCCACCCTCGCTTGATCTTTGTAGATATAGAACGGCATTTGAGGAGTTCTTCCACCCCTCAATGCTGACGTGTTGGATCTCCACGCGCCCAAAACCATGGTCTCTGGACACATCCACAGTCTGAGACATGTGGATGGTTTTGGGCACGTGGAGAACAACCCTGGGGGCGATCTCACACGCCATCTCTAGAATGCCGGCTAGTCCGCCCTTCTGGCGGCTGCACAAATCCTCGGTACTGAACCACCGGTTTCGATCCCACGCTGGAGCCGCCCACGACGGAGAAGTGATCACCACGTCGGACGTCACTCCGGACAGCGCCGCGAAGCTATCGCTGACTCGAAACTCAATCCGGTGGGTGACTCCCAGTTCCGTGGCCTTCTGGCGGGCCAACCGTATTTTGGCTGGATCGATGTCCACGGCGATCACCTTTCGGCACGTTCATGCCAGCCGAACGGCCAGGCGACTGACACCGCAAAACGGGTCGACGACCATGCTGAAAGCGTACCTTCGGGCCACGTGCGCGGCCAACACATCCGGGCACGCGGACACCGAGAAGTGTAACTTGTCGGCAACAGGTCGTCGCTGGAACCGCCAAGCGGCCGGTTTCGCCTCGACGTCGGGGGGACACGGGTCCCGATGTTCTTGGACGGTGGTCGGTGGTTTCGGCGGCTTCAACGTGGCGGACCCATCAGAAGGACCCGACGGCAACGTACTGGGGAAACTGAAGGTGGAAGCGGTCTCTTCCATCG